GTACCCATCACTTGGGAGGTAGAAGTGAAATGTGTGGGGGTCCAATACAGGGTCCTATGCAGCAATCAGAAGCAAGGAACTGGGATGACAACACCAACTGCCAACAGGGATAGATCCTGAAAAAGAATGTCGAGTGAAAAAAGTAGAAAATAAGATGACCCCTAAAGTCTGATACCATTACCAAACATTTACAAACACACGAATAAAAATGGTATACATATTTCAAATTACATATCCCAAGCACAGTAGCATGAATGTCAAGGGGCTGAGGATGAGGATAGGATGGGGATAAAGGGGGAAAAGTAGAACGAGAGGGCTCTTGCATGATTCATGAAGAGAGAGGGGAGGAAGAGAGAGGTAGGGTGAGAGGTCTTGAGAGAAGAGCAGATTTTCACGATGTGGTTCCAGATACGTTTTCCCAGGGTGTCTTGAACTCTGCACCCTACTTTTCTCACACTAGTGACCAAAATCTGTAAAGGCGGAGCCCGTAGTTTCTCTATCTTCGTTTTTCCTGCCTGTGTTTTGCACACAGTAACTGCTTCCTAAGGGGTGGAATTGGCTCGAATTGAGATGATTTCTTGTTCCCCTGACGGTCTCTGTCACAGAGGGTGGCTGCGGGCCCTTCCCCATCCAGAACCGTCTGGTCCACATTTCCTCATTAGCGTTGGTCTTTGGGCTCTCCTTTGCCGGCTCCCTGTCCCTTCCACAGGCCTCTTTCTCGGTTGCCTCCAGCCATTCGCTCTCTCCAGCCTCTTCGCTAGTTCTAACTTCTGTGCGCCCCTTGGGACTCCTCCTAGCTTCGCAGAGGCACCGCCCCCTTATTTCCTTGGTCTCGCCCCATTTAGGAGATTTGCATATTTCCAGAGGACGCGGCCCCGGTGGGAGCCTCCAGGGCGCCTCCCGCTTCGAAACGCCGCAGCGCCCTGAGAGAGCGTGGCGGTTGCCAGGCGACGGGAGGACGCCTTAGCGTCTGCTTGCGCCGCCCGCCCCCGCCACCCCCCCCCGCCGGAAATAGAAATAACGTGGCGCGGTTTTAGACGCCCGGGCCAGTGCACAGCCCTTTCCTCAGAGTCCCGCCCGGTTTCTGCGACCTCCACAGCAGCCTCTGAGGCCGCCCGCAGAGAGCGTCAGGATGGCCGAGGTCAGGAGTCAGCGCCCCTCTCTGTCGCCTCTCGCTCGACCCCTTCCCCTGTGCCTCTCCTACTGTCGACTTATCCTCTGTCATACCCACGGATTCCAGTATTTTCCCCATTAATATCCTAACCTCACCCTACCCCCCTGTCCCAGTTGGCTCTGGCCCCATCACCTCCTGCCCCTCCTTCAATTGGGTGGGTACCCCTCCTCTCTGCCCCCCCCCCCCCAACTATTACATTGGCGCTGTGCTAAGCGCGGTAGGAAACACACGACCAGCACCCACTCCTACATTTTGAGCCACAAGAGAGAGACACATAGACATATTGATGGCTCAGGGACTGATGGGACCTACAAGAAGGCTTAGGAGATATCTACTGTCACCCCTACTCACTGACCCTTGTATACCTGTCACACCATGATTCCCTATCAACGGATCACCTTCTGTAACACATCCTCATTAAGTTCTTCAGCCCATCACCATTGCCCCGTGTTATCATTGGCCATTGTGTTATGATCTTGTAGCCTTTACTCACTCCCCACCATTGTAGCACACCCCATCTTCAGCCTCACCGATGAGGGGTAATCTCTGCAACCCTTTAAAGACAGCTGCCTGTCCATTAGCACCCTCATTTATAACTTCGATGGCATCACTTGCCATTCATAGCCTCCGTCCACCAAGGCCCTACCAGAATCCTTCATGGCCCTATCAGAGCTCTCCCCCATTTCACCCATCACATGGTCAGTCCCATTCAGGATCAGCTACAGAATTTGTGGGGCTCAATGAAAAATGAACATTCAGAGCCCCTTGTAAAAAATTATTAAGAATTTCAGGATGAGCCCTAACTGGTTTGGCTCAGCAGAGAGCGTTGGCCTGCGGACTGAAAGGTCCCAGGTTCGATTCCGGTCAAGGGCATGTACCTTGGTTGCGGGCACATCCCTAGTAGTGGGTGTGCAGGAGGCAGCTGATGTTTCTAACTATCCCATTAGAGAGTAGAGTAGTAAACTGACTGGGGAATGGGGCCAGTCTGAGCAAGGGGCCCTATGCAATGTCTCCCACCCATGAGGCCAGCCCTGGTCCCAGCTCCTGTCACCACCATCATACCACCCCTGTTGGTTCTCATGTCTCCTCTACACCATTCACATCCCCTCAGCATTCCATCTCCTCCATGTCTAATCTCCCCTTCTAAATTCCATCTTCCCTGGTCAATAGTTCCCTCTCCTTATCATACAATCTCTTTCATACCCTCTATCTTCCTCACTGCCTGAGCTCCATCACCTCTTGTCTCTCTTGTATCCATGCTGCCGGGGCCACATTTCTTTCCCCCACTGCTCACACTTATTTATATTTTCTTCCCATCTTCTCCTCCCGTTCCTTCTAATTCTCCCTTTCCCCCCTATTATTTGCTTTTGAGTATTTCCTCCTCCCCCTGCCACTAGTCACTGGTTTATTTCATTCTTCTTCATTTTCCGTACATTAGCTCCAGATACCAATACTATGAAATGATTATTTCTCAGTCCCTTTCCTATCATTATCTCCCCTTATTTCTTCTTTCTGTTTTTCTTCCCACTTGATCTCAGCCAACTTTTTCTCACCTCTGCTTTCATAAGTGTTAATTCCAACTCTGGCCTCATTTTTCATTTTGGCTCTCTTTCCCTTTTCCTTCTCCCCACTACTTGGTATTCCCAGCACCTAGAACAGTGCCTGGCAGATAAAAGTAAACACTCAATAGGTGTTGAATGAAGGAGCAACACAGTTCCTCTCTGATTAGTTCCTATTGAAACCATGCTTCCAAAATAGTGCCATAACAGTGTTGATACCAACTGGTTGTTGGTCACAGCATTTTTGCTTTTCTTTTTATAGCATATTTTAAAAATAGAAATATGAACACATTTCTTTTGTTCATCAAAGTTTCTTTAAAACTTTTCTTTCTCCGATATTTTCCTACTCCTGTGCTAAGGGCCAGGTGTACAGGGAAAACCTGGTCTGCCAACAAATCATTAGGCTGGTGATCAAGTGTTGACATTAATACCATTTACAGGGATGGAGCTGAGAACATTGCCATGATGAATTTTTGTGTGTGCTCATGTTTAGCATCAACAAGGGGAAAGCATAGAGCAGCAGCGGCTCCATATTTCCTTAATATGTTTTCTTCCTCCTTTGTGGGATTGCTGAATTGTGATCTTTGCAATAATCTGCTTTTAGTCAGGAAGAAAACTTCTGTTGAATTTAACATTAGTACTAACATTGTTACATGAAATGTTATAGATATGCTCCTAACTCAGACATCTATTTTAAGATGTGGGCTCAGTTTTGCTTGCATGCCATCTTTAGAAATTTAATCAAGGGTACAAATGTTTTTGAAAACCAAAAGTATGTAGAATTGGAGCTGCATTAGTCTAATCTATGCCTCTGTCTTCACATGGCATTTTCCTGTGTGTCTGTGTCCAAATCCACGCCCCTCCACTGGTTTTTATTGAGAGATAATTGACAGACAACATTATATTTGTTTTAGGTATACAATATAATGATTTGCTATATGTATATACTGCAAAATGATTACCACAGTAAGTTTGGTTAACATCCATTACCCCACAAAGTTATAATCTGCTCACCCTCCTTTTACTAGTATAAGGACTCCTGGGTTAGGACACTCCCTCCTCCAGTATAATCTCAGCCTAACTAATTATATATGCAATGACCTATTTCCAGGTAAGGTTATATTAATAAGTACTGGGATTAGAGCTTCAACATAACTTTGTGGGGGAGCGGGGACACAATTCAACCCATACACTAGGGCAGTGGTTGGCAAACTGCGGCTCGCAAGCCACATGCAGCTCTTTGGCCCCTGGAGTGTGGCTCTTCCACAAAAGACCATGTGCAGGCACGCGCGTGCAGTGTGATTGAAACTTCGTGGCTCATGTTTAGAAGTCGGTATTTTGTGGAAGAGCCACACTCAAGGGGCCAAAGAGCCGCATGTGGCTCGCGAGCCACAGTTTGCTGACCATTGCACTAAGGAAATAAGAAATCCTATATAACTAACTCCTGGGTTCTCACCTAAGTCATAGCCAGACTTGCTTGAATTACATTTGTGTATCTGGGCTGATAGTTTTAAGAACTTGTTGTCCAGATAATCATGGAAAGCAAATGTGGAAAAGGCACCTGAGCTTTGCACAGGGAGCATTTCAGTATACTTGTGGAGATGACCTAATTTTCTTAAGGGATAAAAATGATGGAATATCTTGTAGGAGACTATTGCATATTTCTGATGGGTTTCACTGTGAGTATGTGTGATTTCATGGTATTTATACCAAAATCTCCCTATGTCTGACCCCAACATGCTGCGGACTCCCTCTGCAGTCCTGGGTGCAGTAAGAAGTAGGGTAAAATGAAAACAGATCAGAGTTTGGACAAGCTATAAAAATTCATTGTAACAGCTATAAAAATTTGTTGCTTGCCTACTGTTGGCTAAGTGTTGAACATGAATTATCCTATTTAATCCAATCCATAACAACACCATAGAGTAGGAAATATTATATACAGGGGGGTTGGGCAAAAGTAGGTTTACAATTGTTATACAAATAAATACTACAATAATCAATAAGTAATAATACAGGAATAAACCTCTGTGTTTTGTGTACGTACAAATGTAAACCTTCTTTTGCCCACCCCTGTATATTTTGGAGCATCAGGGGATGAACATCATATAGTTTTTCCCTTCCCGACATATAGTCTTAATGTTCTAATTATCAGTGGCTTTTGATTGGCTTGTCTGAAGGCCTTTTGTTCATGGATATTCACAGCAATTTCTGAATCGTCATGGTGTAAATGTTGCAATGCTCATTCCCATCCCTGCTCTTCTGTACAGGAAAAGAGTGAAAAAGCAGTGCTGGAAGAAACGGCATTTGAAGAAATCGAAAGGGATTTTCAGGAGGTTCTCAATGAACTTTTAGGCGACAAAAGTCTGGAGAAATTTAGGCTTGAATATGAGAAGCTTCATGCTATCATGAAAAAGTCTTATGAAAATGAAAAGCGTCTGATGGCCAAGTGCAGAGAACTGAACGCGGAGATTGTGGTGAATTCCGCGAAGGTCGCCACTGCCCTGAAGCTCTCTCAGGATGACCAGACCACCATTGCATCCTTGAAAAAGGTCAGTGGTCGTCTAGAAACGAAATCAGTGGAGAGCAGTGTCCTGTATGTAAATGCATTCTTTATTTAAAACATCATCTTTTCATCATATTGACAGCTCTGGGCTGGTAGTAAATGAGTTATTAAGGTAAAATTTACATGATTTATGTTCATTTGGCTTAGGGGATAATGTTCATTTTCAAAGAAAATAATTAGGCTGGATGAGTTTTACTATTCAGAAAATAATGTAAAACTTCACTGGCTGGGTTTCGAAGGAATAATGGTCTAGCCCAAAGAATCTATATAATAAAAGCCTAAGTGACCATTATGGTGGAATGACCAGGTCGACCAGTTGATAGGATGCGCACTGACCACTGGGGTGCAGACGTGCAATGCAGGAGCTGCCCCCTGGTTAGTGCACTACCACAGGGGGAGCGTCGCTCAGCCAGAAGCCAGGCTCATGGCTGGCAAGCACAGCGGTGGTGGCGGGAGCCTCTCCCACCTCCACGGCAGCGCTAAGGAGCAGCAAGCTGAGCAGTAAGGAGCAGTGAGCAGGCGAGCAGTAAGGAGTGAGCAGTCCCAGACTGCAAGAGGGTGCAGGCTGGGTTGAGGGACGCTCCTCCTCCCCCAGTAAACGAATTTTGTGCACCTGGCCTCTAGTTAGAGATAAGTAAGAGCAATATTAGGAATCTTAGCATGTCTATGTCTTGTTTGATACAAGATGAGTAGTAAGTAAATATCTCATGATGATGGCTTGTTAAAGATATTTTCATATTCCTACTTTTTTTGTTTCTTACTGTTTTAGGAAATATTAGCTTGAAAATACCCAAATAGTAATATTTGTATTTTTTCGTAGCATCTCTTTGCTTCTGCCTTGATCCTCCCAGTTCCTCATAATGGGAGAACAGGGATTTGGTCTGGCTTAGTCTTACACTTTCTTTTCTATCCTGAAGCATGTTGCATTATTTTGAAGGTAAAACATAAATGTTCCATGTTGATTTCAGGGTGATAAGAGGTTAAGACATCTTAATTTATAATTAAAACCCTAGTGATGAGAAAAAATTCACAGACTTTTAAGAAATTCCTTTGATGTAATGCAGTTAAATGTCAGCCACTTCAAATAAATTTCCAAGACTAGTGCAAAATATGACATGTTTTCTTAGAAACAACTTTTTTTGAAGTGTTATTTTCTCCCTATTGTCAATTCCTTCTCTTTCCTGAAAAATCAACATAAAGAAGGCTCCAATTCATTTTATAATGAAAACACACATACTTTTTATTGTAAATTTAAAAACTGGAAATGGAAGTCATGAATTGCTTAAAATCTAATTAGTGAAGTTGATTTGGACAAATCTTCATATATAATCATGTTTTCATTTGAATATTCTTCATTTGTTTTGCTAAAAATAGTACATACGGTTGCTATAGAAAAAATGTCTCAATAAACTGACACTTAGTTTTAAATCACTGAATTGTAACCCTAGGGCCATCTCTTTCTGTTGTAATAGCATGAATTTATTTAATTAAATAAAATACTCTCTACCACTCATTTTATTCCTTGTCAACATGAAAGTGGAATATTTTTTACCTAAGCCAATAGGTTCTTAGCTATATAAAGGACTCACATGCCACTGGATGAAATTTTGTAAGAAAATTAAGTGGCAGGGTAAAAATCAAGACTGTTGCCATATTTACTGTGCTTTTTTATTTATTTGAAGGCTGTAATTCACTTTTAAGTATTTATGTTAATATTCAACCATGCATTTCATAATAGTAAGGAAGCCAAAGCTACATGAGTCATTGTTCCCATTCCCTGCTGTGGGTTTTGTTCTTTCTCTATAAGCATTTGATGAAAAGGCCTGGGCTTGAGTTCCTGGAAATGGGAATTACCAAGACTGTGTGTACAATTAGATCACAGCTAAGACCACTTTGCTATGACTTGTTCTAAAGCTCACATGGCCATTAGGAGTTCACTTGGGACCTAAGGACAAAATATATTTTTTTAATTCAGAATCTATCAAGAGCTTCAAATTTAGGGCTTAGATCCAAGATCATTCCTTATGTGATAAAGCTTATTTAAAAAAATCTGGGCTTGGAAAGCCCATTAGCTTTCGTATCTTAACATTTTTATTAGAAACATCCTCCTATTATAGCCACCCTTGCAGTATGTGAGTTTTGTATCCACACTCACCAACACAAGAAAAAAATACCCTTTTCCAATACCCCCTTAAAAACCGGTGTTCAGCATGGATTAGCTCATGTTGAATAATTCAGTAACTCAATGCAAATTTAAAGCACAATATATACTATATAATCTTCTTTCCCCATAAATGACTACTGGATTGTAGTGGTTTTATTATTCTGTTTACCCAGCTCACCTTGCATCTGGGACCTAGTTTGATTTTTCTCACTGATGTCCTGTGGCCCATCTAGGAAATTGAAAAGGCCTGGAAGATGGTGGACGCAGCCTACGATAAAGAGCAGAAGGCGAAGGAGACGATTCTTGCCCTGAAAGAGGAGATCGTGAACTTAACCAAACTAGTCGAGCAAGGGTCTGGACTGACAATGGACCAGGATAGCAAGTAGGTCATAGCCTTCTGATTTATGTTGGATTTGCTTTTGTAGAGGACTCCTTCAACAGACAGCCTGGGGTTTCCCAGTGTCACTTTGAACATGATATAAGTCTCTCTCTCTCTCTCTCTCTCTCTCTCTCTCTCTCTCTCTCTCTCTCTCTCTCTCTCTCTCTCTCTCTCTCTCTCTCTCTCTCTCTCTCTCTCTCTCTTTCTCTCTCTTTCTGGTTTCCTAGAGATTGTTTTCTGTCTATTGCTATTTTTTCTTTTTAATGCTCCCTTTCTCCCTATACAAAACTCCTAATTTATGGTTATATTAAACTTTTGGGTCTATAAGAATCAGTACTACAGTTTCAAAATGAATAAAGATTTTAGGTTTATTTCTTTCAAACATGTGTGGAATGGAACTGGATGCTTTTTGGCTCTAATTTCCAGCTGCTCCCATGTAAACCGCCACCCCCCCCCCCCCACACACACCATCCTTCCAGCTTCTCAGGTTCTTGGCCAGAAAACAGAGTTGCTCTTCACCCTTGCCACTCCTTCTTCCCTTAAAACTTTGTCTTGTTGATTCAGTCTTTCCCTCCCCCCTATCTCCAGTGCTACTGCCTTGGTTTGGACCTCCCTTGCCCTGCTGGACTTGGCAGTAGACTCCTAGCTGGTTTCCCTGCCTTCAAGGAGACATCTCTCTTCTTTACCATCTGCCACATACCAGGTTTATGATGCTGAAACATGTACCCACATGCTTCCATCTCCAGCATAAACACCTTTGAAAATCTATCCATTCCTAAAGGATAAAGTCCAAAATCTTGAACATGTTTTTCTGGGCTATTCATAGATGTGCCCTCGTTAGGCTGGCTCCACTCATGTCCAGCAACACCGTCCTTACTTGCCTCCATGCCTTTGAACATGTTGTTTTCTATGCCAGGAATGCTTTTTCTTCCCTTCTCCACGTAGTACACAACTCTGCATCCTTTCAGACCCATCTCAAACACTATCTTAACTTCCTGGCCATGAGCTTCTCTGTTCCAATTCCCCTCCCACCCCCAGACTCAATGACCAAGCAGAAGAGTCACTGTTTCCATAGGATCTTCATCTACCTCAAGTCTGGCACTGATCACATTGAATTGAAATTAGTTGTTGATGTGCTTCTGTACCCATTAGGCTGTGAACCCCTTGACCTAAGACATCTTTCCCTTCCCTTCAGGAGTCTTAGCACTGTGCAGGCCATGCAAAACCTTGCATTAATCAGGAATGAACATGCACTTTCTTAGGCATCTTAACCATATCTAACTGCAATCTAGATTTCTTATGCTTTCTAGATGCATTTATCCAATGTTGATAGATAATAGTTCTAATGTAGGTATTGGGGGAGGGACTAGAAAAACAGAAGATATGGTATCCATCATACTTAATATTTAATATTTAATCATATAAACTATTTAATATTTTTTAATTAGAGAAGTCAAGCATAATCAGAGCAGCTACTGAAGAGCAAAGTGAGGGCTCTAATTCAGTTAGGAGGCATTGTAATGAGAAGTGGCACATGATTGAGGAGGGACATTGAAGAAACTAGCCCAGATTTTGTCTTCAGTAGTGCCCTCAGGTGTAGTTTCTCTCTTCATAGTAAACTTAGGATTTGAGGTTCTGTTTCTGGAGAAGAGTTTCAATGTGGTTTTATGTTATATCAAAGCTGTTGTTAAAAAAAAACACACACATCATCAAATTATTGTGTTTGGAATAGTCCTTTGATGACTGTCAGCTGCAAGGGCCTCTGCTTTCTCAGCTCTAAAGTGGCTGCTTTGCTTTAGTCTAATTCTGTTGCACAAGTCATATCTGACATAGTTTTTCTACTTTCGAAATGCTAATTCTGCAGAAAGTCATGACAAATTATATGTAATGATTTTTGAAATGTGGAAGTAACTGGTTTACAATTCAAATAAACAAATATTATCACATACTCTCTAAATACTGGCATTATGAATGATTTTTCAAATTTTGTTGTTGGAAACATTTGATATGTGTTGCATTTCTTTGGGAGAAACTATACTCTGTGGCTAGTGGATAGAAAAATGGCAATGTGTGTTGTTTGTTTGTTTTTGCTTAACTTTAGACTTTATAGCTATAATCATAGACCTCCAAGGAATATATTAAATCAGTAGTTTCCTAAATTCGTAACTCCTTAGGGTTAATTACAAGAGTTGACAATAGCAATTATAGTCTTATTGTAACAAATTCAAAATAATACAGAGATATGGATGATCTTTACTTCATCCCCCCAAGTCTTCCACCCTAAATTCCACTTTTCAGAGGTAAGCTACTAGTTGGTGTCTAAATCCCTATAAAACACACACACACACACACACACACACACACACACACACACTTTTTAAATTTTTTTCATTCTTTCTAATAAATTTAATCATAAAAATTTTAATCTCTATCATATTGAGTACTTATTCATCAGTTCTTTTTTCTTATTTTTTAATTTAATTTTTATTTAAAAATTTTAAAATTTATCTTTATTGTTGGAAGTATTATAGGTGTCCCTCTTTTTACCCCACTGACCCCTTCTAGCCTGCCCCATCTCCCATCCTAGGCCTTCACACTATTGTCTGTGTCCATGGGTTATGCATATATGAATAAAAATTATATGATTAATCTCTTCCCACCTACCCAATCTCCCCTGCCTTCCCTGGACACTGTAATTTCTTAAATATAAGAAAAGGGATTACATTATGCATGGTATTATTGGCACTTTTTCAGTTAAAAACTCACAAACAACTCCCATGTCAGGGCGTGAAGATCTTTCTCTTTCACACCTGAATAGTGTTCATCCTTGATCTAGAGCAGTGGTTCTCAACCTTGGCTGCACATTAGAACCACCTGGGAATCTTTTTAAAATCCCGATTTCTGGGCCTCATCCTCCGGAAATTCTGTTTCCTTGTTACTAATGTTGTGGCCCCACCCCATAACAAAGAAACAGAATTTCCGGAGGATGAGGCGCAGAAATCGGGAATTTAAAAAGATTCCCAGGTGATTCTAATGTGCAGCCAAGGTTGAGAACCACTGATCTAGAATCTTTCCCGTGAAAATGAGCTCAGAGGATGATAAGGAGGCCTCATGAGCAGATGGCTGTTTAGTCTGACTCCTGTGTTCTTCTCTTTTAGTATCCGAGATTTACTGAAGTTCAAAGAAGAAGTGACAAAGGAACGAGACCAACTCTTGTCAGAAGTGGTGAAATTACGGGAGTCCTTAGCTCAGACCACTGACCAGCAGCAGAATGCGGAGCGAAGCCGAGAAGAGGCAGAGCACGCCATCATTCAGGTCAGCTCTGCCAAGTAGGGCTTGATGAAGGACCGTTTCCTTCCAGAAGGAGGTTTGTCCTTCCCCAGCCTCCCTCCCCACCACCACCTCCCCCCTCCCTGCTGTCCAACGGTGGCATCCACTGTTCTGCTTGTTTCTTTGGTTTGTTCTTGCAGGAGCGGTTCTCCTGGAGCCACTCTTCTCAGCATTGTCTGAGAAGCCACTAAGGCAGGGCACTGCTTACAGTTCTGTCTGGCCCAAGAAACTGTCCCTGGTGAAGGTCAGGGTGCCCTGCATCTGGAGATGCTGAAAGTAGTTCCCTTGATCCTTTTCCATTGAAAGGAAGCCATCTGGCTGAACCCTTCTGAACACTTTTACATTAAGCCAGAAGTCAAATAGATAACACACAAATCCCAACTCTAGGAGAAAAACAGGAGACTTTTGATCATGAGATAAGAGAAAGGCCTTTCATAGAATTCAGACACCATGATAAAGCTCTAGTGCTTTCTTTAGCAATATCCAGTACTCATGTACAAAATGATTTCACATTTGGGGTAGTTGGCTACATTTAATTTAGTTCCCATTGATGGAGACTTGGATGAGTTCCTTCCATGTTTAACTTTTCTAGATTCTGGGTTTCCATATTTAATCGGATTTTATACCTTCTTTGTGGATTTGTGTCCACCATCAGGGTGGATATTTAGTGGGAAGGCTCTGAAAAACAAAACAGATTTTTTTAAAAAATATGTTTTTTATTGTTGATAGTATTACATATATTTCCCATTTCCCCATCTTTCCCCCCTTCTTCTAAGCTCCCAGCCCCTACCCACCCCACTTCTTTATTTTTAGCATGTTTTTATTTATTTATTTTTAAAATATATTTTATTGATTTTTTTTACAGAGAGGAAGGGAGAGGAATAGAGAGCCAGAAACATTGATGAGTGAGAAACATCAATCAGCTGCCTCCTGCACACTCCCCACTGGGTATGCGCCCGCAACCAATGCACATGCCCCTGGCCAAAATCGAACCTGGGACCCCTGAGTCCGCAGGCCGACGCTCTATCCACTGAGCCAAACCGGTTAGGGCTAAACATGTTTTTATTGATTTTAGAGAGGAAGGGAGAGGGAGAGAGTGATAGAAACATCTATGATGAGAGAAAAATCATTGATTGGCTGCTCCTGCATGCTCCCTGCTGGGGGATCGAGCCTGCAACCTGGGCATGTGCCCTGACCAGGAATTGAACCGTGACCTCCTGGTTCATACGTTAACGCTCAACCACCAAGCCATGCTGGCCGGGCAAAGCAGAATATTCTTGAGATGTTTTTACATTAGGGCTCAAAGATGACTGACCTACGGGGGAAATGCTGCTACAAAGTGACGGCCCTGGGAGAGGGAGAAGCTTGGCTGGTTGGGACCTGTCCTGGGGAGGGGTTCATGTCTTTCCTCCCTGTCCTTTCTGTGCCTGTAGTTCCAGCAAGAAATCCAGCAACGTCAGAATGAAGCTTTGAGGGAGACTCGGAAGAAGGAAAAACTGGAGAAAGAGCTCAAGCAGATTCAGACGGACATGGACACCAGGCAGACGGAGATCAAGGCCCTGCAGCAGTATGTGCAGAAGAGCAAGGAGGAGCTGCAGAGGCTGGAGCAGCAGCTGAAGGAGCAGAAGGTGTGTGGGGTGCGGGCTGCATGGGTGTCCTCGCAAAAACAAGACCAGCACCTTGGTTCAGGGTCTGTTGGGGCCTTTTGTATTTTCTTTGGAAAGCATCAAATTCCCTTCTCTGTAGTTGCTGGTAATAAGACACTGAGCCCTTCGAATAGCTCTTATAGGTAGATATGTGCCCTCCTTTCTTTCCCCCCAGCTCCAACAGGTTAATTTCTTTTTAACTTTTAATTTAAAAAAATATATTTTAATTTATTTTTTAGAGAGAGAGGAAGGGAGGGTGCAGAGAGAGAGAGAAAAAAAACACACACATAGATGTGAGAGAAAAATATTGATTGGCTGCCTCCTGTTCCCACCCTGACCCGGGATCAAACCCGTAACCTGAGTATGTGCCCTGACCAGGAATTAACTGGCAACCTTTCAGTGTATAGAACAACACTCAACCAACTGAACCACACTGACCATTTTCTGAACCACACATACATTTTCTTAATGTATAATAACCATAGAAAAGTGTGTAAGTCACAAGTTATACAGCTTGATCAGTTTTCTCCACTTGGTCACCTGCACTCAGCCCAGGAAACAGTACTCCAGGTATCTCCCTAATGCCCCCTCCTAGTCATGTTCTCCCCCCAGAGGTCACCTCTATTCCGAATTCTAAGCAGAGATCAGAATTTGCCTTTGTGTACTATGAAATGAAATCTACAGGATGTACTTTTTTTTATGTCTATCTTCCTTTTCTCCATATTTGTCTGTGAGATTCATTCATGTCATTGCCACAGTTATAGACTTGTGTTCTCCAGTATGGTAGCCATTAGCAACATGTGGCTATTTAAATTTGTTTTAAAATTAAATACAATAAAAAATTCAGTTCCTGGGGTTTCACTAGCACCATTTCAGGTGCTCAAGATCCACATGTGACTAGTAGATACCATACTGGAGAGCACAGGTAGAGAATATTTACATCAGGGCAGAAAGTCCTATTGGACAGAGCTCATAGAGCATTCCCTCTCATAGCTTTATAGTATTCCATTGTGCAAATATAAGATGGTTTATTTTTAACAGGTTTATTTTAAAGGTTCAAGTTTAGGGAACCATACTCAGTCTTTACACACTTTAAATTAGGTACTATTTTTTGGTAACATTTCCCCTGTAATAGTGGTTTAAGGTAACTTAGTAATAATTCTAGTCTGTCATTTCTCATTTCTTAAAGAAGCAGTTCATGTAATTGAAAAAAAGTCATTTCTGGAAAATATTTTCTCTGAGGAAGTTTCCAAAGAATTGTCAAGCCATATAGCATTTTTCTATTTAAAAAATAGATATTAGAACACATTTCTTTGTCAGTTGCTTTATTTATTTTATATAGAGCCAGAAATAAAATAGATAATAAACAATATATAGTATCCTCAAGTAAAATATGAGACTACTTTGAGCGTGAAATCCGAGAGAATTTTGGACATCATGATAAAACTATAGTGCTTTGTTTAGCAATATCCAGGACTCCTGTAAAACAGTTTTATTTTTAGCATAGCCAGCCACATCTTATTTAGTCCCTGTTGATGGGAAATTGGATGGATTCTTTTCATGTTTAACTCTTGCTTACACGAAAGCTTTACTGACCCTTGAACTACACGGGTTTGAACTGCACGGGTCCATTTAGATGCAGATGTTTTTCAATAAATATACAGTTGGCCCTCCTTACCTCTGGGTTTCCCATACGCAGATTCCACAAACCATGGATCAAAAATACTGTTTCTGATCCGCAGTGAGGAAACTGCAGTTGGGAATCCTCAGCTGGGGAAGGCTAACTGTATGCATTGCTTGGTGCCATTTTATATGAGGGACTTGAGCATCCATGATGTTGGTGTTCTAGGGGGTCCTGAAACCAATCCCTAGTGGATACTGAGGGACAACTGTAGTTAAGCTTTTGGGGAGTCAAATTGTGTGGGGAGGGTGCCTCTAACCCTCACGCTGTTTAAGGTCAGCTAAATACGTGTCTTTCTCTTTTTGTCCTTCAGGCGATTTGATATCCTTCCCATCTCCCCAATTTTCTCCCAACAGAAATGGCACCCTAAAATCTAACCCTCTCTTTTTATAAAACCTACCGTCAAGGAGTGTAAGAGGAAAAGCCAGCTGACACTGAGGTCAGGCTGTTAGAAACCATCCCGCTGCTGTTCCACGGTTTTGACTTAAGTTGGATTAAAGGGGAATTGTGTTGGTGTTAGTGAATGGTTCTGTTCCAGAAAAGGTAGTAGGCATGGATTTGCTTCTGAAGAGGTAGCTTCGGAGCCTCACAGCAGATAAAACTCGGTCGAATCCCTAGCTCATTTGCAATGACTATAGCAATTGTTGTGTATGCGAAGCCTGCCGAATGGTATTAAAATATTTATCCACCACCTGTGAACAAGGCTTCCCAAGGCTCTCAGAAAAAAAAAGGTCCTCTCTGTGTTATTCATTCTAAGGTGTCATTTTTCTCATCCATTTACCAGTAACATTCATCATTTTTGAGTGGGTTAGAGCTTTCACGGGGATAAAGAACCATTTCTACAAAGACAAAAGTAGTGGGGCTTCCTGTGTGGAGACACAGATATTGTAATCAGATAAAAAAAAAAATTAACCAGCTCATTCTACCTCTTTCAGATATTGAACGAGAGAGCTGCAAAGGAACTGGAGCAGTTTCAGATGAGAAATGCTAAACTTCAGCAAGAGAACGAACAACACGCTTTGGTTTGCGAGCAGCTATCCCAGGAAAACCAGCAGAAGGCATTGGAGCTCAAAGTAACCATCAAGTGACACATCAGTTGCCTAGCACTCCCTCCTTCGTTCCCTATAGGTTTGCTGTGCGGTCGGAGCTCTCGGTTCCATAACCTGAATTAGCCTTGATGCATCAGACAGGTGCAAGCCTGCCGTGATTGCTTTGTGCCTGGAAGCAGACAGTGTGATAAGTCCCATTCTTACTTATAAAATTGCAAACCTGATTATTGATCATATGATTATGCAAATGCTTTCCAAAGCGAGCTCAGATGTTCATCTTTGTAACTGAGCCCAGCAAGTCACCAGTTGCTGAGAGCTAGAAACCATTTACACGAGCGAATAGCAAAGTAGTCAGATTGCATTTTATTACTTGTATGGAGAACGTAGAATGAGCAGGGTGGGGGATGGACTGGTTCTATTAGGTATTTACTTCTAGGATTGTAGAAGCATGATATTCACTTTGTCCAATGCAAACTTTAAGACAGGCCTCCTGTTCTTCCTCCCCTTCTTCTGCTTGCAAGTTGAGTTTGGACAACAACTTTATGCTGGGTACATATGTCATGCCTACATGCTTAATAGAACAAAATTCTGAAAACTCTGTAAACCCTATTATGTTAGAATATTGGTTATAAATATTATGAGTGACCGATCAAAAGTAATACTTAGATTCAAGTAATGAATTATACAGTTTCTGCATCACAGGCCCTTCTGAGAACCTAACAGAAATATATGAACAGACACACACACACACACACACACACACACACACACACATTGCACATCTTGTATCTTGTTTTGTATGCAGTCTTAGAGGTCTCCAGGATTTTTCTGAAATCTGACTATGGGGTCTGGATGCATAATTATTGAATTAGAACACCTTATTATTGCAATTGAAAAGGGATTTAGGTCCGTTAATTTGGACCCTGTAGGACCCGAGGCTGAGGAACATTTAAAACAGTCTAGAATGGTTTGACTCGAAAGCATTCCCTATGAGAATGTTGTAAGTTAAAGCAGAAATGAAACGACTACTTAAGGCAAAATAATATATTAGCCCCTAAGGTGAACTTAAAGTAAAAGTACTTATGCCATTACTTCTCTCTTTTGATAACACGACTGGGGCACCTTGAAAGATGATAGATTTTTGTTAAGTGATCCTGAACCGAGGGCATTCAACTTCTCCCAATAATCTGAGGATAACATGCCCAGCTAAGTTCAGTCTCTTCAGTGGCAAGACCTGGGGATAATTCCCAAGTTTATTTGTAGAAGTGTCACTGGTTGCTTTCCCAGTAATTTCTAAAAATGACAAAATTTTGAAAAGTGAATTTAATTTGAATGTAAAAAAAATTCATAAAACTTGAAGCCCATAGACAAAAATTTGGTGTTTTCCTTTGCTAGACTTTATTGTTCTGGTACCTTTGGGCATTATGTAGATTTACCTTTTAATGTTGCCCTGTCCATCTGTCTGAATATACACCCATTGGCTACCATCCTCTGAGGACGGAGGCCCCCTCCTCTCGTGGATGTAATTGTACTGCTGTGGCCATGTGGGTACAAATGTATTTGAATACTTTATGGCATGTTAATAACCTTCTGAAAGAGATCACTTTGTGAGTCTGTGAAAACTGCTAATTGAATATAGCGTCTGTACACAAAATCCACACATTTATGATACACACAGCTCAGCATTCAGTGGTGCCTTGGGACATCAGGTTTAATCTGTCTTTTTATTATTTTTAGCTTATACAGCCACATATTTTATTCAGAGAATAGAGTTTTTCAATTTCCCTCAAAACCAAACAGTGTGTGTTTTGATTTAGTCCAATAGAGTAACTTCACACTGACATAGGAAGAATTTCCTCTTTCTGGTTCTGAGTTTACCATCATCCAGTCACCCTTTATTTACCAACTGTCCCCCTGCTTAATTCTCTCTCACTAATTACAGGCCAAAGAGGAAGAAGTTCATCAGATGCGCACTGACATCGGGAAGCTCAACAAAATCAGGGAGCAAATCCATAAGAAATTACACCAGATTGAAGACCAAAAGGCGGAAGTAGAACAGCACAAGGAAACTCTAAAAAGTCAGATCTTGGGATTAGAGAGAGGTAAACCAAGGATTATTTTGTGCCTTTATAAAATGCATTTATAGACATTTCCTTGGTGACTAATGTCATCTGGCAACTCGGGGCTCTGTATGTACAAACCACAAACCATGCAAATGAAATCAGCGAAACAACGTTCAAACTGGTGGGTGGACAATATGGAGGGGACATCATTAGGAATTCCTTAAAAATTCTTCAACAGACTATCTTGGCACACTGTAAATCCAGCCCAAAGTATTGCTCAGTACTTGTCATGGAGTAAGTGACATCTATACTGTTAGGTTTGGGTTCTACATGACCTTTAGCATTAGTCCGTTTTCTCACCAAAGATAGGGATAAAGGAAAATGAATGCCCCCCGTCAGCAGTATTTGAGGCAATACTGTACCAAGGCTTAGTGGGACGAAAGTAAATGGCTTTTAATTCCTTTTCTCTGTTAGTACTTTATCATCTGGCAAACACTTGTTCTACCAGCTCTCTCATTGGCCTGTGGAGGCAAAATTTAAGTGCCAGGGGAGGCCATCTAGTACAGAAAAATCACTGTGGATACAAACTCTGGAGTCACGTCTGCCTGGGTTCAGATCCCACTTCCACCATATTTAGGTCTTGGGGGATGAAATAAACTAATACACATAAAACATGTGGGGCCAAGTGCCTAGCACTGTGGTCGGCAAACTGCGGCTCGCGAGCCACATGCGGCTCTTTGGCCCCTTGAGGGTGGCTCTTCCACAAAATACCCACTTCTGCGCATGGGCCACGAAGTTTCAATCGCACTGTATGTGCGTGCCCGCATGTGGTATTTTGTGGAAGAGCCACACTCAAGGGGTCAAAGAGCCGCATGTGGCTCGCCAGCTGCAGTTTGCCGACCACTGGCCTAGCACATAGTAAGTGCTTACTCAATGTCATCTATTATTATACAGATATATTACTATGTATATAGTAATAGGACAGACTATGATCCCATTCTGAAAAGAATATAATTGAGCTGAACCGGTTTGGCTCAGTGGATAGAGCCAAACCTGCGGACTGAAGGGTCCCGGGTTCGATTCCAGTCAAGGGCATGTACCTTGGTTGCAGGCACATCCCCCGTGGGGGGCATGCAGGAGGCAGCTGATCAATTTCTCTCATTGATGTTTCTAATTCTCTATCCCTCTCCCTTCTTCTCTGTAAAAAATCAAAAAAATATATTTTTTAAAAAAGAAAAAGAATATAATTGAAAATAGGGGAAACTAGTCAAATTTGGGGTGTCTGAAAAAGCCCTGGACTTGGAGGCAGAGGATCGGGTCTGAATTCCAACTATATCAGAATATGTGAGGCAGGAACACTGTATTCACTCCCAGCGGGCTGCTGTGAGTCGTAAATCACCAAAAAACATACATCTAGGTAAAATCTGAATCTCCAGGTAAGATTTTATTGGAAACATATGTCATGTGAGCCTTTGGGAAGTGCAGCTATTTTTCCTTCTAAGACATCAGGAAAAAAATCTTTTACCTTGACAGTTTCTCCATTCACTTATTCTTTCATTCGATAAATTGGATGCCTACTATGTGCAGGTACTATGCTAGCCATTGGGTGCATGGAGGTCCCTGCCCTCAGCATGCTTACTGTCTAGCACAGTTTAACGATCTAATGTGACAGATGGGAAGGAGAATGGATCCCGAGAGCTTGTTTTGTAACGGGCTTAGTGACTTTAAAAAACACTCCTCTATTTAAATTCCTGTGCTTTTGCTTGCAATAGTTCTAAGCTTTGAAAAGAAATTACATATTCAGTGTTGAACCCAACTCTTCATACTGAAATCATGTTTATAGAGGTCTTCACACTCTCTCTTCTTATTAGTTTATAGATATCGTTAACCATTATTTCTTAGGGGCCTCTTCCTTTAATCTGCCTGATCAAAGAGTGGCATTAGACATAATGGTTAGGAGGATAAATCCTCCATTTATTTATTTATTTATTTTTCTATAACAAAACCCAAGAAATGAACTGAAGAACTGCCAGAACTAATGGGAGTTCAATAGGGTGGCAGGTTATAAAATAAATATATAGATATCTATAGCTTTCTTTCATACAAAGAGTCAGTTAGAAAATATGATGGAAAAACCCCCTCCCATAATAACAAGTAAAGTAATAAAATATCTATGAATGAAGTTACCAAGATATCTGCAAGACCTATATATAAAAAGTGCTACAGAATTCTATTGAGAGGTGTAAAGGAAGACTTGAAAAATGGAGAGATATACCAAGTTCCTGGATGAGAAAACTTAATGTAATAATGATAAAAATCTGTCTAAATTAATCTGCATACTTAACATGATCCATAAAAATTCCAGTGAATTATATTGCTGGGACTTGAAAATGGATTCTAGTGTTCTCCAGAAGAATAAACATGTAACAATAGCCTAGCAATTCTGGAGAAGAGTGATAAGGGAGCATTTGCCTTCCCAGGTATTTAAGTGTATTATATAGCTCCAATAATTAAATGGTATAGTGAAGATGTCTAACAGATCAATGGAAAAGATTGGAAAGGCCACAGGAAGATCCAAAATTTTCATTTAAGATAAAGATGTTGTTTCATACAACTGTACAATATGGGCTGGTTATTAAAAAATGGTAGTATGATAATAAGTTACTTTTTTGGGGGAAAAGTTGACACCAAATGTAGAAACTATAAAGCCAAGATTGAGAAGTTTAGTGAAATAATAGCTATTTTTTAATGTACTAAAGACTATATATGAAGGCAAATGACCAAAATATTGTCAGTCAGAGTTAGTATCCTTATTATACATAAAGAGTTCTTAAAAATCCACAAAAAGGATAAACAATTTATGAGAAAAACTGGCAAAGGTTAAAGTGTGGACAATTTGAAAAACAAATACAAATAAGTGATCATTAAACATGAAAAAGTAGTCAACTTCACTACCAGACAAAGAAATATAAATTAAACACAGGCATACTGGTTTTAATAATCCATCACATTGTCAAAGATCAAAGAGAATGATAATAACTAGTGGTGGTTTGTGTGAGGAATTAAATTGCTATTAATTTTGGGGGGAGAAATTTGGCAGGAGGAGAAAAATGTCTTTTAAAAAAATTCCTTTTGTTTCAGGACTTCTGCTTCTAGAGTAACCAATTAAAAATAACTTACAGGATCGTTGCTAAAAATTACAAATAAGTAAATAAAGTGGAAGCAATTTAAATGTTAAGAAGGGGAATTGGCTCAATAAATAACACATTTTCATATAGAGAAATATGCAGTAATTAAAACTTCTGATGTTGATGCACATTTATAATATAGAGAGACATTTATTTTGTTTGTTAATTGTAGAAGCAAGTTACAAAACAATATGTGTATCATGATTACTTTGGCATGCATATACATATTTATAATGATACACACATATAATTTGCACAGGAAAAAAATCTGCAGACATCAAAATCCTAAACAGATTGCGGTTGATTTGAATTTTTTTCTTTTTACTTGTTTTTATTTCTAGTTTCTCTCTGTGTTTCTAATTACTTGTATAATAAGAAGGATTTAAAAAGAGCAAGGACTTTTTGAGTCAGTGAATCTGTGCTCCCAATCTCAGCCCTGTTACCTCCTAGCTGCAGATCCTTGGCATGTGGCTTAATCTCTCTATGCCTCAGTTTCCATCTGTCTAGTGCAGTGGTTCTCAACCTTCCTAATGCCGCGGCCCTTTAAAACAGTTCCTCATGTTGTGGTGACCCCCAATTTCATTGTTACAAATTGAACATAATTAAAGCATAGTGATTAATAACAAAAACAATATGTAATTATATATGTGTTTTCCAATGGGCTTAGGCGACTCCCCAAAGGGTCGCGACCCACAGGTTGAGAACCGCTGGTCTAGTGAGACAGGAAGGTCTTCCTCAGTTACAATGAAGAGTGTGTCACAGTTAATAAACAGTCGTTTTATAGCTATAGATAAATATGTAAAGCAAGTTTTGTATGGGGGCAGATTCTTTTTATTTTAAAACATGTTTTTATTGCTTTTTAGAGAGAGCGAGGAAGGGAGAGGGAGAGAGAGATAGAAACATGGTTGAGAGAGAAACATTGACCAGCTGCCTCTTTCACACAACCTGGGCATGTGCCTCGAGTGGGAATCGAACGTCTTGGTTCATGGATTGATGCTCAACCACTGAACCACATTGGCCGTCTGGGCAGATTTCTTTTTAGGTTGACTCCATATTTATTATTATTTTTCTCCCTGGTGATTTAGAGGTGGAGGCTTCAAAGAAACTAGCAGAACTTGATAAGAAAGCAATGGATGAGCTTCTGCGAGAAAGGGACATGTTAAATAAGGTGAGCTGTTGTGGTAACACTGGTAAATAAATGCCTTTTCTTTAGCCATAATATCTGCCTATAACACGATATTCAGAGGCAAACAAAAGTAGATTAGAATAAATAATAGTGCTCAATTTTCCTCTAAGCAGCTATCTGCAGTCCAGCGTTTACTGGCTGTGAATTGAAACTGCATTATCACCTGTGAGCACAAAGGAATTTTGGAGCATTATTATGTAAACTAGCAGGGGATTTCAGAGTGTTTTGTGGATTCTCTTTTTATTGGCGGTGTGTTATTTGGCATCCCAGACTGCCCTAGTCATTCAAAATATCTGAGTTTAATATCTACGATCTGTGTCTTTTGCTAATCTAGAAAGCAGAGATGACTGCTAATAAAATTTTAACTTGGGTGATTTTAAGGGATGGTGATATAAAAAGTCTCTAACTTTGCCTCCATCTTTTCAGGATTGTTGTAGGGTTGGGGTTTTGGGTTTTCCGCCCTTCTTTCTCCTAGTCTTTGAGCTCAATATGGTCTCAGTAATATGGGGAGTTTGAGGCCTGGAGAGCCTTCACTCCAGGTGAGACCCTGCACCCCTACCCTTTTCCTCCTCTTGCCCCTTCCAAAGGATTCCTCCCATTGACAGTCACTCTTAGGACATTAACTATTTTCAAGGTTATAGGATAAGCTTGCCTGCTCAAGGATTTCCTTCGGGGAGGAAAAGTGATTGGCCAGGTGCAGAGTGGGGAGGCTGCTTCCTAACAACAGCCCGATGACTTTTGGCCAAGACAACTTCATCTCATCAAAGTAGACACAGCCTGTATTTGTTCATTCTGACTTGTCATGATTTCCTTTAGTTTCCCAGGATTGAACAAGTGTTAATAAAATAGATTACCCTTTGACTTAAAGTAGACTAGTTAGGGAATCTCAGGAAGTAATAGATTAGATATTATTACATGCATAGCACTCCTTAGGAAAATCATTGAATCTTTTTTTTTTTTTTGCATAATCCTGGAAACTGTTCCTTTATTCTGTAAATTTGTACATGCAAACAATATTATTCGATTTAATTTTTAAATGTACTTTTAACACATGTAATATTTAGTCCATTTATATTTTATATACAGTGATATTCTCTAGAGGAGTGGTTCTCAACCTTCCTAATGCCGCGACCCTTTAATACAGTTCCTCATGTTGTGGTGACCCCCAATTTCATTGTTACAAATTGAACATAATTAAAGCATAATGATTAATCACAAAAACAATATGTAATTATATATGTGTTTTCCGATGGTCTTAGGCGACCCCTGTGAAAGGGTCATTCAACCCCCAAAGGGGTCTCGACCCACAGGTTGAGAACTGCTGCTCTAGAGCTCTTAATAAGCTCTAGAGAATATGATTGTCTTCACTCATCTCTAAAACAATGGAGCTAACCCCAAATATCCAAACACTTTGAGTAATAGGGATGCTCTGTTGTCCTTATTTTTAGAATATGCTCAAGGCAATCCACGCGACCCAGAAACAGGTAGACCTGGTGAAGCTCCATGAACAAGCCAAGAGGAACTTGGAGGAGGAAATCCAGAACTACAAAGACGAGGCTCAGAAGCAGAGAAAGATCATCTTTCAACTGGAAAAGGACAGAGATCGATACATCAATGAAGCCAGTGACCTCACTCAAAAGGTAAGCCGTTCCTTGATGGTGTGGGTGGAGGGAACACGGCACATTCTTTCTGATCGTCACAGTTCTTTCTTTTTTAAATTTTTTATTTTTCTTAATTGTATTTATTTGTGCTTAATCCTCACCCAAAGATATTTTTTCCTATTGATTTTTAGAGACAGTGGAAGGGAGGGAGGGAGAGAGGGAGAAAGAGAAAGAGAGAAACATCAAAGTGAGAGAGACATATCAATTGGTTGTCTCCCGTATGTGGCTGGCCCTGGCACGTTCCCTTGACGAGGAATTGAACCCGTGACTCTTGAGTGTGTGGGCTAACTCTCTAACCATTGAGAAACACCGGCCAGGGCTCTAATGGTCACCTTTCTGATCGGCACGCTGTTGTAAAGGCGATTTATTCAGATTTCAGCTTGTGGTTTACATGAAGATTTAAGAGGAATGGTGTTGACTGTATAAAAGCTGTCCCAGAGCTGATCCTAGGCCAGTGACATGGGCAAGCCTTATGTTTGGTGCTCTCGCTTCCCCTTTCTGGGCCCCTGTCCTAATTTCCGGGTTCTCCATCTTCCCTGGTGCCCTACTGAGAAAAGCATCTTTCTAATTAAATGACCTCAGATTAAGAGGCGAGTAAATACTGGCATCAGCTCAGTGTGTCACACATTCAAAGAGTTTTATTTTAATACTGTTGCAAACCTACAACTTCACTAGTGATGGAAATCCTCCCATTGTGTACCTGAGTTTCAGTTTCTACTTCTCCTAAACTGCTTATGAGGGAGAAGGCTCAGGCAGTATCCTTAGGCTTGACTTCAGGGATTTGGATGTTACTTTTAACCAGTCATCCTAGCACATTGCGTGCATTAAGCAAGAGTGGTTAAACAAGTATTGTTTTGGTGCATTCACAGATGGCAATGAGCAGTGGTTTCAGGATGGGGGGCGGTGGGTATTGGGGAATGAAGAAAAGTTTTAGCTATGAGGCTGAGAAGAGAGTTCTGGAGAAAAGACTGATTTAATGAGCTTGTCCCTCTAGCAAAGTACTGTCTGCTATGCTATTGCATAGCCCTCTCTTCCATCTCAATGAAATCTGCAGTAAATTCTACAGTGTTTACTGATGCTTTTGCATGTTTAAATTTTGCTTTTTTTTTTTTTTGAGTAGAATCTCCAAAATGACAAGGAGGACAGCCAACTTTTGAGTCATAAACATAAAGAAATTGGGAAACAAGCTTTATAACTTCTTCCCATTTAGGCCAAATAAATGCTGAGCAGATATTTGCAGAATATAAGTTTAGAGAAGCACAAATGCATATGATCCGTCCAGCCTCCTACCCCTGATTGGGAGCCTTTGGCATTCAGCACATTTCTTTGCTGACTTAATCATCTTAGAAGCTCCCTGGATTGATTTACTGACTCTGAGAGGACTAGCTGTCAGTTCAGGCATTCATATTCTCTGGCTTGGGCTGGCGCATTGGCCTCGGTATCAGTCAGCGTTAGCTGAATGGGTTACAGCAACAAAGGTTTATTTTTGCTCACATTAGTGGCCTTTGAGGGTCAGCTGCAGCCCTGCTTCTTGTCCTCCTCACTCCAGGATGGCTCTGTTGGCATGTGCTGGCCTCTTCAGAGGGAAAAGAGTGTAACAGTGGATACTTCAGGGTGCTCTCAGAGCTTCTGCTGCCAAAGGAAGAGCACAGGGCCTGTCCACCCATATTCCATTGGCCAGAGCAAAGCACATGGCGAAGCCTGATCCTACTCCCTGGGCAGGAGTATGATCCCCCTAAAGGAGGGACCTATATGGTGAGACACTGAATGTATCTGAACCTATAATCCGTTGCAGCATTTTACGTCTCCTTTCTGGTAATCAGTCTCTCTCCATTCCTGGCTGCTATCATACTATCAGAGCTAACTGTTAAAAATTCCAATGTAGCCGAAACCGGTTTGGCTCAGTGGATAGAGCGTCGGCCTGCGGACTGAAGGGTCCCAGGTTCGATTCTGGTCGGGGGCATGTACCTGGGTTGCGGGCACATCCCCAGTGGGAGATGTGCAGGAGGCAGCTGATCAGTGTTTCTCTCTCATCGATGTTTCTAGCTCTCTATCTCTCTCCCTTCCTCTCTGTAAAAAATCAATAAAATATATATATAAAAAAAATTCCAATGTAGTCTTATAATTATTCCTGGCCCTACCAACCTTCGTTACCTCTGAGCCACCTTGGGCAGTGCTTCCTAACATTTTTTTGCATCACAACACTCATAGAAAACAGAGCCGATGGCATGTGGAAATAAGGAGGATGAGACAGGGCTGGAGGAGATTCACCCAAGGGTGATAGCTGCCCAGGTCCCGGTAGGTAGAGCGAATCAGTATTTTTGTATATACCTGTCACCCATGCAACACAGCAATTGGTATGCTCTGACTTAAAAGACAGAGTCCCAGCTCTTTGTTCTCCCTAGAAAGTTCTCCTTCCCCTTCTCTGCATGGAAAACTCCTATTCATCCTTCAGTACCCAGCTCAAATGTTCATCTCTGGGGTCAAGCCTGCTCTGACTGCCTAGGCAGAGCTAGTCATTTCCTACTTGGTGGATTTGTTTATATCTCTGGGTGGCAGTTATCATCCTCCAGTATTGTTATTTCCGTGCATATTTGTTTTTCCTACTTTACAGTGAGCTCTTGGGAGCAAGGATTTTATCTCATTCACTGTTTCATTCCAGCATGCTGGTAAATAGTAGGCACCAAAACAGTGTTTGTTAAACAAATGGATAGATGATGTGTGATAAAAATAATGCTGCCACTGATTTTCATATAGGATTATATATTTTTCTGTTTTCTTGCAAAGGAGAGATACTAGTGCCAAGTTTTGCTGGTAACTTTATCAAGTTTTCTGATGTTTAACTGCACAAGATTATACAGTGTCTCACCTAAATAATTTAAACACAAGTCCTTAAAATATATTATCAACTATAATTTTTCTATCTGTTACATAATCTCTGATAGCATATATCAGTTGCTATAGCAACTTGTGTCCTCTCTGGGCTTCTTATCAAGGACATATATGTCTTTTTTGCTCTTCCTCATATTTTTGTCTCTCTTTCCTCCCCCCCCCACTCTCTCTCTCTCTCTCTCTCTCTCTCTCTCTCTCTCTCTCTCTCTCACACACATACACACACACACACACACACACACACACACACACACACACCTACTCCTTATTTCCTTATTTGAACAAACAGAAAGTTGCCTTTCGTGCATTCTATTTATTGGGAGTTGAGGGATAATGTCAGGTGCTGGGGATGATGTCATGAAGCTAATATTTTCATCTACTTCTAGAGTATACACTGTCCAAGTTTATTCTTTTGATCCAGCAGTTTCTTTAAAAACTGAGTCCGTGGAACCATAAGAAATGCAAAGATTTCTATAAAAGAATATTCTTCAAAATAAATTGTGCTATATGTATTTGATACAGTATTATGTACCATTAAAACCATGTACATTTAATGTTAGAAAATCATTAAAAAATGGGAAACAATGTTTACAATATGAATCTGATAAAAACACAATGCAAAATTGTGCAAATGGGGCAAAAGTAGGTTTACAATGGTTTGTATGGAAAATAAAAACTTTTAACAGCATCAAACACTAAGGCTGACATAGAGCCTGATGCTGAAGTAGAAGAAAGGAGAATGGATGAGAATTTTAAAGCCAACAGAGGTGAACTGAGAAAATCTATCTGGACCTCAACTCACAGTTCCTTGAATTGGCTTCATAGAAGAGACAACCCGAGAAGAGCTAGAAAGATGCTTCAGAAATCTCCTACCATCTCTTCCCCTACTCAGTGTCTACACTGACCAGTTCATTCCACCTTCCTGCTAGTCAAGTGCTTGTGCCCAGCCAGTCGGACAATTATGGCCAATCCAAAGAATGGGGAAGGCAGGGTGGAGCTGGTGGTTGCCCAGTGCATTCTGGGATGGCGGCTTAGGGATGTGGCAGGGCAGAGAGAATCACCCCTGAAAGTGGGACCTACTGGGAGTTACAATTGTCCATAGACCACATCAGCTCAGAGTGATAAGAAATAGGCATTTGGGCCTGGGGCTCCTACAACATCCTAAATGAAAGAATACTAAAGATTGGGAAGTGGACAGAGCTCTGCACATCTCTGTATTCCCACCTGTAGTTTTGAAAAGTGGATTCTAGCACCATCCTGTGATTCTAAGAGTTGAACCCACCTTAATAGAGCTGCTCCTCGGGTGCAATAAATCCTCCCTTGTCCAAGGATGAATAAGGAAAAAGGCAGCTTAATGGGGTCTATGGAAAAAATATGCCTTCGAACTAGAGAAAGAATGGCCTCTGGAAGCCCCAGGGTAAAAGCCAGGCTCCGAAAATTCCTTTATGGGAAGATATTTAAGTTGAACCTCTAACGTAGCTATTTTTGTAAGTGAAAAACAGTGGATGCTCAGAGATTTCTTAAGGTTCAACCTAATAGAAGAAAATTAGTGTCAGGTTTCTTCTAAGGTAAAGAATAGTGTTTGTTTAGCAAAATACCTTGATCCTTGCATTGTTTTAGGCAAGGACCTAATGAACTAGAGTGAGACAAAGAAAAGTAACAGAAATTGGGGAAGGGAGGGGGTGGTGGTGAGCAGGAAATGTGGAGGAGATTTGAAAGGATGAGACCACACCAACATCCAGGAAGTAGGTTGGGCTCTTTTGGAAGAGACTCCTTCCATGGAGGGGGTGGGGATAGGGAGAGGGAGTGAATATTTGCAGAACCAGAAAGTAAGCTACTGCAGTGCTTCAGCACTTTTTATCCTCCTGGCTTTTCTTCTGCTACACTCTTAGATTTTACTACTCAGATAAATTGAGAGGCGCCAGGTGTGACATTGTAGATTGTGGTCCACCATACGTACTCTTTTTCTCAACTGTTAACCAATTCTAGGTAAAACCGCTTCTAGTTAATTATTAAATCTGAGAAGAATTTTGCACATCATGCATTTGGCTTACATTAGGGCCCCTCCCTTTTCATTCTAAACGTTA